TCGCAGCGACCTGATTGAATGACGTAGCTCGAAAGCCCGGTTGGCCAAGCCCTTGCCAAACCTTTGCTTGAGATCCGCCCATATTGCGCATGCCGTCCGCGTGGCCCTGGCGCTATTACTAACCTCTTTGCTCATGGTTGTCTTAAGCCAGCCCTTTACTGTGGCGTCACATCTTCCCCAATCTTCATCCCTGATGCCAGGTCCTGCTTTCGATCGTGGAAAGCTGCCATCGACAAACACCAGCTTATTCTTTGAGATTAGGGTTTCGGTCATATCGCTTACCCATTCTCTATAGTTCGAATCTGTCAAGAGATCACTTCCAAATAATTGGCTTGGATTCTCCCACGGATGAAGATAGAGTGGCAACGTGAGTGGGATGACCTCAACGTCGGTGACGATACCCTTACCACTCGAACCACAATATTCTCTGATAGTCATGATTGCAATACTCTCTGATACGGATCAAAGCTCTGATACCACATAAAATAGCTAAAATGAAGAAGCAAACAACACAATGATTTAACATGGTTTTCTCATTTGGTGTGAACGGGACTACTCCACGGAGAGCAAAGGCTCTCAGCTGATCTCTTAGTATCATGCAGCTAGAAAACTGCTCTTCCTCAGTATATGCGACAGACATACACGACCCAGCTTTATATACCTCTCACATAGGTATTAGGGTACAAAAGGGGAAAATGACTGCTAGGTCGTTCAACTATATAAACATACAACTTGGTCTTGTTCAACAATTCTTCTCACGCAAATTAAAGAGAATTGTGTTGTTGGTTGTTCTGCCATTGATTTACCAGCAACACAGAATAACATCAATAGTACCAGTGTACCACTACTTTGTTTTAGTAAAAGTGTACCACTACTTAACTGTAACTTCCCGAACTTTTTTCGCGACGAAGATATCGTCCGCTTTGGGACTCGGCCCTCACGGTTTTTGACTTGGGGTGCAATTCAAGGTGACTTCCCATAAGGTCACCTATCCTTGTTGTACTCCACACTTAGCACGTTTAACTTCGGAGTTCTCACAAGAACTCTTCCATTTCACATCAAAACGCGTCTTGGCAGTTAAAGCCGGTTTCTTTCTTATGAACCATTGATCTCTCCCATGCTTTGTCGATTTGGAATTCGTCTAAGGTGTTACATTAACCTTGCAATAGCAAAAATGATGTTTTTTACGACACTATCTAGAAAAAATATTGCGTAACTCTATAGTTAGGCAATCTAAAATTTACTTGTGACATACGTGTTGTGTGTAATAGAGCAAACATAACATATAATTAAATATAATTCATTTCAATTGTATAAACTACTCAATACAATACGCAACTCCAAAAAAGAATGTTGTCGTTGTGCATCTAATGCAACACTTTCAAATAATGTTGCAAGCGTACCGAGTATTGCAAAAAGTGACTTTGACTCTTTTCCCATAGTGAAAAAATAAATCAATACTCCAACCAATGAGAGTGCTCTCCACATGCAACAAGTGATTATCGTGTACCGCAATGGTACATAAAACAAGTTGTATTTGCGTAATTATGGTTCGGCTAATTTAGCTAATTGAATTTATTATTTAAAAGTTTTTGATGATCAATTTGATTTAAGTGGATTGATGGGATTATAGGCTCCACTCACTAGACTAACGAATCAACTAAGCCTCTTTTACAGAAAGGGGCATTGGTTCGTTTCTAGATTTCTGAGACAAAAGTAACAGCCTACTAGCTCCTACTCAATAACACTATTATGATCCGGAAGAGACCAAAGCCAACAATCCAACATTTCTTCTGCAAATAATTGTTTCTATTTAGTTCCCTGTTTGTCGCCTGCCGAAAACTTTTGCCGAATTCAACCCGTAATCCTGTATCTAGACTAAGCTTAAAGAAATTGAATGAAAGAATCAACCGAAGAAAACATTAACAAACTGGAGTTATAGACATAGATGGGCACCTGCATGCGAAGATGCAGAAATGATGGAATCTCAGAAAAAGCATATATAAAAATATTAGAATCAATGTAGAACTTGGCTTCTTAATATTAGCCCCAAGACAAGACAAGACAAGTCAAAGGAGAAGACGACTCGATCGCCATGGAAGTGAGAGTTTTTTCCAGAAATAGCACCTTTAAAAAAAAATTACAATACTAGCACCCTTCCAAAAATATTTACAAAACTAGCACCTATTTTTATGGATCGCACCTTAGAGGTGCGTTTTACAATTAAAACGCAGCCTAAGAATGCGTTTCCCACATAAATCGCACCCCTAAGATGCGATTTATGCGAAGTCGGATAATGAAACGCATCCCCAAGATGCGTTCAACGTTTGGTGGCCAGCGACCTTCCAGTCCGCACGATTGAGGTGCGATCCGACGGGCTGGAGCATAGCCACGTCAGCAATCCGCGCGGTGGATTGTAGATCGCACTAGCGAGGTGCGATTTCTCGCCTGGAAAAGTGGAGCGTCAGTTTCCAGAGCGTTCAACGCCTCGGGACGCGGAGATCGCATCGGGCAGGTGTGTTTTCACGCAGAGATCGCATCGGGGAGGTGCGATTTCGACGGGGGTAAAATTACCCTACCGCCCCTGCGGGGTGCGATCTGTTGGGTATAAATACCCCCCTTCCCCCTCTCATTTCTTCACTCCACAACCCATTCTTCCTTCTCTCTCTAGATATAATCTCTCTAAACCCTCCCCTCCCAAAAGCCTAGGAAATAAAAGTCTGTTGGTTGCGGCTAAGTCCGATCTGCCATCAGAAAATATTTCTTAGGTTTTTTTCTCAAAAACCCGACGAGCCGAGCCGAAGCTCTGTCCGAATTACGCCGAAAAAATGGCCGATTGGTGGCAAGGAGAAGGAGTTTATGTTGATGAATTTCAAGCGGTATGTACTCATTATTCTGGTTTAATTTTTTTGTTGTTATAAGTTTTTTAATTAATCTATGTACTAACCTCGTTGTTATTTTCTCGTAGGTTGGGGAGGACGTCGATATATACAACCAACGGTATTATCTCGAGCAAGGACCGTTGGATCCAACGACTTGTACGACCAACCCAACCATCGATCAAGGGATGTTTGGAACGATCACCCGGTACATACAATTCTTCACCATTTGTTCTTCTTTTATTTTGTTAATGTGCCTAGTGTAATATAAAATAAATTTATGTTTATTTTTTAATCGTGTTGGTGGTTTTCAATAATTTAATCGAATACATAGCGCCACTTACTTCGACTCTTTATAAAGAGATGCACGTATAAGGAAATGGGGTTTTAAGCGATTATCATATCCTCCCATTACCTGGAAAAATCGGGTATTAAGAGATCCTCGGATCCCCCCTTTTTCTGTCAAAAAGACTGCGTTTCTAAGAAGATGTATACCTCTTCTAAGAGTCTAACGAGTGTTGCTTTGTATTCGATTAAATTATTTAAAACAACTAATACGATTAAATTATTTACCAAACATTTGAATATGTATGTTTCTACTTAAATTATTATTCATTAACAATGTTATTTATGTTAATTAATTTAGTATGTTTGTTTTACGATAATATGTATGTACCTCTTTAAATTATTATTCCTTGACAATGTTATTTATGTTAATTAATTTAGTATGTTTGTTTTACGATAATATGTATGTACCTCTTTAAATTATTATTCATTGACAATGTTATTATGTTAATTAATTTAGGACGTTTGTTTTATGATAATATGAAATGTCTTTTTATGATAATAAAATTATGTTTTATGTTGCATAATTTAATTTAATTTAATTATTTATACGAGAAAAAAAACCCTTACTAATATATAATAATTAACGTGTACATTTTTGCTAGGAGGCACAAACAATAATCCGCTACAGGGGTACCACCAATGTGCTCCCATTCCACCCAGCTATCTTGCCATTTCTCAAAAGGGCACGGTTAGACTCGATTATGCATTTTAACGGCATCCAAATCGATCGCCAACTCATCACCGCATTAGCCGAGAGATGGAGAAAGGAGACCCATTGTTTCAACTTTAGAGAAGGAGAGGCCACCATCACGCTAAAGGATGTCGCCATCCTAACCCATCTGCCCATCGACGGCAAACCGGTGTGCGTGAGTGATCATCCCCCCGAGGATTGTGACGGTATGCCCGGTTGGCATCATTTCATCCACAGTCATTTGGGAGTGAAAGTACCGGTGAAGGGTTGCGTTGATGCGACCGATCGCATGCCACCATTGAGGAAACACCAAGTCTCAATTACATGGTTGACGAAGTATTTTAGAAATCATTACGAGAGTCATCCGCTTACCGAGGAAAGTCCGGAGGATGAGAAGGAGAGATATGCTCGTGTCTATCTCATAGGCATGATCGGAGGAGTGTTCTTCTCCAAGAAAGCAAGCAATCTCCTTAGTTGTGGATGGCTTAGGATCATATTCAGTAGTTGGGAGGAGATGGGGGAGTATAGTTGGGCATCCGCTTGCCTAGCTATGATCTACCACAACTTGTGCAATGCGTCGCTAAAAGCCGTGAGGGAGGTCAGCGGCGCAATGTTCATCGTCCAATTTTGGGCTTGGGAGCATATGCCATGGCTTGCACCGGCCCAACGTCCAGACAGGGATTGGCCAATCGATCATCCCCTAAGAGGTGAAGCTTATGAAGCAAGGTAAACTGCTCATACCCCATCATGTAGTCATAACACATTTCCCTTGTGTTTTATCTTATTGTAGTTTCATTCTTGTCTTATTAATAAGGTGGCTTGGACACACCACATGCGACAACCTTTTCCAACACAAGTTGGACGAGTATCGGAGGAGGTTTGAGCGACTTTGGGAAGGAGAGGTAATTTCTATACTGCGATCCATTTATATTTTTTTTTCATGGGACTATCTACCTTTTTTCTAAGCAATTAATCTTACGTTACTCATTTCTTTCTTGTAGATCGTCTACGATCCATACCCAGAGAACATCGTTCAATGGCATCTCCAGCAATTCCCCGGTCATATCGGGCAATGGTGCACGAGGGTTCCTCTAATTTGTTTTGGGACCGTGGAGTGGCACTTGCCGGATCGATGCCTCCGTCAGTTTGAACGGGAGCAGTGCATTCCGTTGGATGGTCGGCAAGGTACTCGCGATTGGCCCACGAAGTTGAAGGAATTCATCGCGATTTGGGAGAACCGACAACTACAAGATATTGTCACTCCAAATCAAGTGGGCCGAATGGGGTATCATGACCCATACTTGGATCGATATCGGCAAACATCGGTTCGTTACATGACTCCGGAGGGTGCGGCCGATGGTGCATTAGTAAGTATAACCAGTCTAAACATACTATGATTTATTACTTGGTTCCTAAATCTCTTCTCTTTCTAACCTTTTTTTTTTGTGATTTAGGCCGATGGGGTCGAGCGGATTAAAGATATTACTACAGGAAGAAATGAGTTGGGCAATGAAGATGTGGGCTTCATCAGGAGGATTGCAAACAGTCTACTTGGCTGTATCAGAGCTCAGGGCCGGGATCATCGTAGATATCCGCCCGCGCCCGCACCCACACCACCTCCGGTACAACTTGATGTCCCCGCACCCCCACCACCATACGAGAGAAAGCAGAGCAAGAGGGTTCGGGAAAGGCCCAACGTGCCCGAGGTAACGCCATATGGGGGGTGGAGAGTACCGCCCCCATTGGTTGTGACCCAAGGTGCCGGACCGAGTTCCACCCAAGGTGCCGGCATGGGTTCCACCCAAGGTCCCCGCCCGTCCTCCGCCCCATCTCCCCGCCCGACTATTTCCCAAGATGCCGACCCGACTTCATCCCAAGAATTCCGCCCCTTCTTCCACAACGATCACCACCAAAGCTCATACTACGATCCCCGATCGACCTACCATCAATCCTCTCAGAGTTTCCACCAAGCCCCTCTTTCTACCACCCCGATCTCATACAACGATCCCCGCCAAACATACTACGATTCCCGCCCTATCTACCCCCAATCTCCCCGCCCTATGTACCCCCAATCTCCCCGCCAAACATCATCTGGGACTTGGCATGATGGCTCCTCCACGACAGGCCAACACGAGTTCGCCCCATGGAATCGACCTCATCAGCAGTGGCCTCCTACTCCTCACCGAATGAGCGCCGACATCGCCCGCTCAACCCCGGAAGTGCCGCTTCCCCGCCGACATAGCACCGACATATCGCCGACATCTCAAAATTAGTGTTCTTGTTTTTCTCAATTAATTTTGTTTAAAAATAATTTTTAATTTAAAATATGACGTGGCATCTAAGTGAGCACTACATGTCTAGTTGGAGATGACGGGTTATGCAGGTGACATCCACATCAGCGTAAAGTCTATATTACTAACGGAGTAACTAACAGTGTTAAAGTTTTTAACGAAAATGGCTAAATTTGTCAAACAAGTTTCGAAAGTGTGGCTATATTTGTGTATTTTTTAAAATTTGGCTATTATTGTCACAAAGTGTAAAGTTATGACTATCCAAGTATATTTGCCTTAAAAATATGTTTTAAATTAAATAGTGGCATTGCGTCTACATGGCAAGTTTGACTGAGTTGTCACTGATGATGTGTGAGTTGATATTGCGTCTATAAAGGTAAAAAAACATAACAACACGAGGAATGGTCTCACAAAAAAACCAGGAACAAAAAGGGGAAACAGAAAGAACAGTAGACTGCTTTCAACGGAAGGAAGAAAACTAGGCGTCAAGAACTCCCACTGTTCGCACGCCATCCAAGAAACCAACGGCTGCCCTGTGCTTTGTAGCCTTGCCTCGAGAGACAATCCATTCCATAATCGTTCTTGTAATCTTCTGTGAGACCAGGTTTTGTGAATAGGTGTTCTATTAAAAAATTCTGGAATTGCGCTCTTTTCAAACAAGCAACACAGTGCATGAATGAGGCAAAAGAAAACCCACTAATCGAAACAATATGGAGTTTGAATTGTCCATTCCTTGATGGCTTCCGATATGTCATCAACTGTAGGGAGATGACCGCCATTGATGCATAGTACCCCTTCCAGACTTCTTTCGTGAATCAACAATCAATAAAAATATGGTTAACGTGAATGATAGACAAGAGGGCATGAATAAGACATCTCGGCACAATGGTCCCACAAAGGGCCAATGGTGGGTATGTGCTAAGTGTAAGGGTCATGAAGGCATAATGGATGAACAGGGTGAAGTTGGCCACATGGGTAGTCATCAACTCGTTAAGTCCAAAAACCCATCTTCCCAGCCTCTCCATAGGTTGAAGTTGGAGAAAACTAAGGCACGGGATGACTCGTGGATCCTTTTCAGCATGCCTAGGGTACCACGTCAACCCAACATGTCTAGTAAGGTGGCTCAGGCTGAGCAACATGAGACCCTTTGCCAGCCCACCAAGTTAGGACAGTTTGACCGGGTACCATCTGTTGTTAATTTGGAAAATTTGAAACCAATACCAAAGGTGTCGTCTCCCCTAAAGGAGGGAAGGCAAGTAGTGTATGGGTATATGGAGGAATACTTGCAATGTGAAAATCACAAGCCAATCATGGCTCAAAAAAATGTTGTAATACTTGCAATGTGAGGACCATGACCAGTGAGAAACAAGTCATGTGACTGGGTATATGGAGCCTTCTACACTTGTTGGATTGTTGGGTACACCAAGCCACTTTCGTGGCATGAGTAGCTAACTTGGTTTCCGACATAAATCGTTTGCCATCCATGTCACCCGTCAAAGGAGGCATACTTGTTGAAAGAGGATGAAGTGATACATGATCGATTGCTCAATAATGAGTATCTCAAGCCTTATATCCTTCTTCTTTGGGACACGGGTTGTCAACAGGTTCAAAGTTTATTGGCCACTAAGATGACTAGCATGCCAAGCCTTTATCGCTCTAAGGCATGGTATGATATCCTCGCGGTTCTCTCCTATGTCATCTCCCACATTGACCTCGTCTTCTTGTGTGATTTCACCCTCTTGTACGCTACTTCGCCATCATATGAGGTGTCCTCATGGGACTCTCCTTACGGGTAGGGTGCAAATTTCCATCATTACTTGTCACGTCGGCATTCATGTGTGAGTGGACCATCACTGTTGGCGATACCTCGTCGTCATTCCCATCGTATTTTTAAGTGAAGTTATCCTCAACAAAGTGATAATCACGCGAGGTGATGATTCATCGCGACTGAAAATCATAAACCCTATAACCCTTCTGTGAAGCTAGGTACCCCACAAACACACTACGTCTCCCCCTCTCGACGAACTTGTCGAGACGGTGACTCATTTCCTTTGTGTAGACAAGGCAACCAAAACTGCGGATGTGCCGGCATGGACGGAGTCCACCCAAGCAAGACTTCGAAAGGTGTCTTCCCTCCTATTACCTTTGAAGGTAATCGATTTATGAGATATGTCGTCATTAACACAAATTCGGCCCAAAAACGCACAGGTAACCAAAAATTGATCCGAAGTGGCCGAGATATTTTGAGTAGATGGCGGTGCTTACGCTCTGCTATCCCATTCTGTTGTGGGGTGTTGACACACGAGGTGGCCGAGAATTCCATGTTGCTCATATTACTCCGATAAAATTCCTCACTGAAATTCGAGCCCGTTGCTTGGATTCGGCAAACTCGCCCTGTAAACTATGTTTGTACCATCTGTGCTCAACAACTAATTTAAACTAAAGCAAATACACCCAAGTAGCTCGACTGAAGTCATCCACAATCGTCAAGAAATAACGGGACCCATTCAAAGTCGGGGTTCGATAACTACCCCAAATATCCATATGAATAATCTCAAAACAAGCACTAGTCTTTATCGAATGAGAAACAAAAGGTTCTCTTGTGAGTTTAGCGCGAAGGCAAGAATCACAATGCTGCCCTACGAGTAGGACTGGAAGTTTGGTATCGGTATTTCGGATATACCGAATTTGACTATATTTGGTATTATCGAATACACGTATTATTTCTTAGGATTGGGATTGGGATTCAATTGTTATTCGGTATTAGGGATTACGGGATTGGGATCGCTATATACTGGAATACGGAACAATAAAAGCTAGTGTATATTTTATCCTCTCAATTAGACTCTCTCATTCACTACTACACGACCCTAAACCACCAATCTATTGTTATTTTCATAACACCAAAAAGCAAACATTAGTATTAGTCTTCTCCCAGCCTCTTATTCGTCAAATTAAAAATTACGAATGACAAAAAACTTGAGATGTCACCTCTCCTCCATTCTCCTAGCTCTAGCCAAACTCAAGACTCTTTGTTTAGACTCTTTGTCCTATATTAAACAATCAAATCTAATTTATATATTTAATAATTAATAATAAAGGTAATTAATTTCGTATTCGATAATACCAATTGTGATACCAAAGTACCGATTGGGATAGCGAAATATTTAGGGATTGGGATTGGGATGCCGAAATTATTCAGGGATTGAGATTGATTTTAGGGTGTAATTCGGTATTCGGGATTTTGGTATTCTGTATTGGGATACCGATATCGTACTGATTTCCACCCATACGTACGAGTTTGATCCAACAAAGACAAACTATCTTTCAAAAACTGAAACTTCTCAACCGATGGGTGCCTCAACCTAGCGTGCCAAAGCTCCATTGACTCCTTCGCTGCGCCCACGAAAACACCAGAGGAATTCACATATCTCCGTCCCTGTCCTTCCATGTGATGGAGATAATAGAGCCCATTACAAAGACTACCCATCCCGATTGTAGTCTTGGAGTGTGAGTCCTGAATAAGGCACATATCACCCGCAAAAACCTAGTTCACGTGATTATCTCTAGTTAGGACTAATTGAAATCGTTCCATCCGGGATGTAAACCGGGGGATGGGAACTAGTGCTGTCAACTTGACTTAACCAACCAAAATCACGTACTATATGCTCACTACAACAAGAATTGATGAGCCACTCATATAGTTCAGGGGAGTTACCAGCCATGTGTGGAGTTGGTTCTAAAGCCGGAGGTGTTGGTGCGGTCAATAGTTGCTTCCATTGGGAAAATTGAGCTGCGGAGATACCCGAAATAGGGCTCTGCTCGAGCTCGGCGTTCGCTGCTTGTGGTTGCTGGGGGCTTGCCGGCGCCTTTTCCTCGACGTGGGGCTTGGGAAACTCCATACTCGCCTTGGCTAGAGGCCATATCAGGCGCATACAAGTTGGCGGAAGAATGCTTGAAAACAAACTACTACGGCCCCAAACAGATGATGGAAACATTCTTGCCTCTGCTCAATCCGATTCACCCAGAATAGTCAATGTCTCCTCGACCATGGGAAAGTTAAAGGTACCGTTTCACCATAGCTAGAAACCATAATAATAAAAATAGATGATGACCAACCATTATTTGCTGCCCATGTATGCATGTTTTACGTCACATACAGTACGTCCAGAACGAATGGGCTACGGCTGTACTGAGGGACGTCGAGAATCTAACAGAAGAGAGAGTGGAACAAGTAGTGC